AAATCGAATTGATCAACATATATCATTGATACTCACGTAGATATACGACTTGTTCACATGTGCTCTGGCATCCGACCTTGATATATTGTGGTCTTTTTATGAATGTATCCATATTCTCACTCATAACATATTTGGTATCTATACGAAAATTTTTCATATTGAAATCTGCTCCATATTCTCGGTTTATTCGTGTCAGCAAATTCAGAATTAAATTACTAAGTGTGGCATGTGAGTACGTTTGAACTTGCTCGTCTTCATGTTGTTTAATGTCGATACCAATCAGCAGTCTATCATTGTTCCCTGAGAAATTAAATAACAATATAACATATTATTGCATTGAATGTAAATTGTTTTAGATTTTAGTACTCGGCGAGATGAAAATCTAAATATGTACATGATTTACATAAGCGGACTCATGAGAAGATTATATCATTCAGTATTTTGACACTTCCAATAAATTCACTTACACTTTTTGTTTGTGTACGCATGATCAATGAAAACACACAACAAATTATCACGCAGCAAATACGGCGAAGGAACGCGAACCTAAATTTCGGTACTTTGCGCATAACCTCATATTATTTTGAACAATAATATCATGCTTCTTACCCATTGCCTCATTTACTGTCGTCAAAAACGATTCCATATCGTGTACTGGTATATTACTAAAGCTGCTGCCAATGAATAGTATCAGCTTTTTCTGATTTAAACACTTGATATGTTGCAAACCATCGACGTACAGCCCATGGAACGGTTTCACTTCCAAACCATGGAATTGTTTCATCAGTAGGTCTGCATGGTGTTCCATGAAATCTAATTTGAAAAATGTGAAAGTCTGTATTGATCGCGACGTAAACCGAATTCATTTCATTTTCATGACTGTTCTTCAAACAAGATTTTCAAAATGTATATGCAAAAAATCTTTACATTGATAAGTATCAAATAGACAAGGTAGTATACCGATGCTTACGTGTGACAATGTTTTAAGAAATTAACAATTTGAGAAGGCCTCTGCATTAAGCACATTTGCTAGTAAACAATATACAGATGACGTTGACTGGCAGGAAGCCTGGAAACAAATTAAACAGATAACAATCAACGAAAAAATGCGCAGATTTCAGTATAAAATGTTGCATCGAATTCTTGCGACAAATGTTTTTCTATACAAAAATAAGAAAATTGACGATGACAAATGCAAAAACTGTGACCTAAAAAAAGATTTAGAACACTTGCTGTGGGAATGTGAAGAAAGCCAGAAATTCTGGCAAAAAATTAAAATATTTTGGATAAATATATGTGCCGAAAATATCAATATTTGTAAAAAAAGAGGTAATCTTTAATTCTGGTGGGAAAAGTAACTTTCAAGCCCTGTGGAAGCACTTAATTTCACTTGGGAAATAAGAATTATATATTGCGAGGTTCAATAATTCTAAACCAAACTTAAACTTATTCATTGAAAGAGTAAAACAAACCTTTAACCTAGAAAAAGCGATCGCTGAACAATACAACAAACACGAAATATTTGTTAACAAATGCGAAAATATAATGAAATACCTAGAAAAATAAAAATGCTGTAAATATATATATATATATATATAACAGACTTTGACCTTGTTTTTTTGTGTTTTTGTATTTGTATTATGATCAACTCTTTTTGTTATTTTTTTTGTATTTGTATTTAAAAAAAAAGTTAATCCGTATTCTGTTAGTTAACTATTATGCCAAACTGCAATATACGAATAATTAAAATCTGTGCATTGTATTTATTACATCACATTTTAATATAC